TAATATGGTAACAATGAAGATATTTGGAAAAACTATGCCATGGAAAATTTCAAGAGATATTCCAAGATGGTTTTAAGTCATACAGCATCACCAAAAGAGACAACATTATTTGGGTATGAAATGCATAGATGATTTTCTTTAAATAAATTAAAAAAAAAGAGCAATCACATTCTCAAGATTATCTAATATAGCCAATCCCCAGGTTACAAACGTCCAACTTCTGTTTACCTTGCATACAATTGCAGTTAGGAACAGACCCCATAATGCCTATTATGTTAAAAATTCTAGGTACATACAATTGTTGTGGTGTTGTTGTTGTTGTTATGTGCCGTCGAGTCGGACCCGACTCATAGTGACCCCTCCTTGGGTTTCCGAGGCAGTATCACTACGGAAGTAGATTGCCCAACCTTCCTTCCGAGGAATGGCTGGTGGGTTTGAAGTTTGAACCACCAGCCTTCTGGTTAGCAGTCAAGTGCCTTAGGCACTATGCTACCAGAGCTCCTGGTACCTACAATGAATGGTTCATAATAACAAACTGTGCTACTTTACAACATGCATTAAAATGTTATCATTAGTACTCTATTATTATGTTAAAGATGATTTAGTACATCTGGAAGTATTGTTTTAGTTTTTTTATGCACAGAAAGGTACAGTACAGGCATACATTTTATTGCCCTTGGCTTTACTGCACTTTGCAGATATTGTTTTTTACAAATTGAAGGTTTGTGGCAACGCTGTGTCAAGCAAGTCTATCAGCATCTTTTTTTTTTTAGCACAAATGACACAGGGTTCAGCACCATTTTTTTTTAACAGCATGTGTTCATTTCATGTCTGTGTGTCACATTTTGGTAATTCTCACAATATTTCAAACTTTTTCATAATGCTATTCCACAGTTAATAGACTACAGTATAATGTAAACATAACTTTATATGCAGTGGGCAACCAAAAAAATTAATGTGACTCTCTTATTGTGATATGCATTTTATTGCAGTGGTATTCCTGTGTATGTTATACACGAAGACAAACCTGTGACTAAATGATGCTAGATACAAACTGTACCTAACCATTCCGACTTATATACAAATTAGACTTAAAGACAGACTTAGGAACTGAACTCGTTGGCAATCTGGGGATTACCTGCACAGCCTTTCACTTATCTAATAATATGCATACTTGCTCAATGTGGTTATTTTCAACTTAAGACACATTCATGCTGAAATGTACACCCCCTCTTTTAACTCAACAAGTCTTTCCTCTCATTTTATTCAGCTTCTAAAATCAAGCTCCTTCTGTGATTAAAGAACTCACTAAAAGAGCAGCTAAGAAAAATATTCCATGCAGGTAGAAAATTTGGGAGTGACTTTACTCCATCCAATTAGCAGCTGAAACCTGCTGGTAGCTTGGGAGAACAAAAACATAGTAGAATGGATACAACTCACCAGCTCTTTGTGGAGAAGACAGAGGCCAGAGAAAAGGGATGTTCTAAAGAGCAGACAGCAGTAATTCAAAAGCTGGGCAGTAGATACACAAAGAAGAGCTAAAGGTGATCATAAACTGCAGGGGCTATGTTATGTTTGTTCTTTACCATATTCCCAGTGCCAGAAACAATGGTTACCACCTAGTCACTCAAAAAGTATCAGATGAGTGAACAAATGAATGAAATGGAAACGTTTTCTGAGAGAAACTATAGGATTTGAACATTCACTGAAAAAAACAGCTATTGATAAGTAATAATATATATACATAAACATACATATTTTTATATACCAGGAGTCCCTGGTGGAGCAAATGGTTAAGCACCTGACACTAGAAGAAAGGCTGGCGCTTTGAACCAATCAAGAGGTGCCTTGGAAGACAGGCCTGGTGATCTGTATCCCAAAGGTCACAGCCTTGAAAACCCTATGAAGTAGTTCTGCTCTACAGACATGAGCCCACCATGAGTCAGAATCAACTTGGTGGCAACTAACAACAACATTATGTATATCCACAATCTGTCTGTCAGTTTGTCGTACCGTGGTGGCTTGTGTGTTGCTGTGACGCTAGAAGCTGTGCCACTGGTATTTTAAACACCAGCAGAATCACCCATAGTGGATAGGTTTCAGCAGCACTTCCAGACTAACAAGCACTAGAAAAAAGGCCTGGCAATCTACTTCCAAAGGTTAGCCAATGGCAATCTTATAGATCACAGAAGAACACTGTCTGACTTGCTTGGTTTGGACATGTGACCAGGAGGCATCAATCACTGGAGGAAGACATCATGTTTGGTGAAGGAGAGGGTCATAAAAGGGCAAGGGAGACCCTGGGTGAGATAGACTGGCACAGCAGCCACAATGATGGACTTGAAAATTGTGGCAGTTGTTAACATGACACAGGATCAGGCAGCTTCCTTTTATTTTATATAAGGTTGCCATGAGTTGAAATCAGCTGTCCAGCAGTTATATATATATGTATATGTATATATAAAACATATATATATATATATATGTATATATTTATATCCAAAACATACATATACATAC